CTGTGTTGGGGCACCAAAAATCCTCCCCCGGGTCGGCGGCAGCCCCGCGGGGTCGGGCGGTTCCTGGATGCCCTGGCAGCGGCTCGCAGGGTTGGGAGCGGGGTCGCCCCCACACCGTTGGCTTCCTTGGAGGCACCTCGTTGGCACGGCTGCCAGGTGGGATTTTCCCCGGGCTCCGGGGAGGTCCGGGTGGCTGCTGCACCCCCCACATCCCCGTGGGCTCCCGCAGCTGTACCCAGCAGGGATGGTGCCATCAGATGTTCCTGCCAAGGGCTGGGGAGGGCAGAGAAGGCTGGGCTGCAAAAAATCAAAAGCAAACAAAAGGAACCTAAAAAACACTCTGGGGGAAGGTTTGTGGGGGTGAGTTCACGAGGGGCTTGGTGGTCTTGGGGTGAGGGAAATGTGGGGTTCAGGGAGGGTTCCTTGCTGGTTTGCCCCGCAGGGCCACCTCTGCACCCCAGAAAGTGCCATGCTGGGTGTCACCGCCTGGTCCAGGGGCCCTGAGCACCCCGGGTGTATTCCCCCTCCAGAAGATGCTGAAATTCCCAGAGCCTGGGGCTCTCCAACCCTTGCTGGGGCTGCCTGAGCTGGGGGGGCCGCTGTAGGAGCTGATGAGGGGCTGAGCGCCGGGCAGGATGGGACCCGCCCTTCCACCCTAACCAAACCTTATGTCCAGACCCAAGCCTCAGGCTTACCGACGGCATCCCGGCACCAAGGAGGGGCTGTCCCCTCCTCCCTGTGCCACGGTGGCCTCATTCTGGACAGACCCCCTCCTCTGACCCCCCCATCTCCTCTCTCCCTGCAGGGTCGCAGGGGCTTGGGGTCCATTTTCGTCTGGGCGTCGGGGAACGGTGGCAGAGAGGGTGATTACTGCTCCTGTGATGGCTACACCAACAGCATCTACACCATCTCCATCAGCAGCACCACCGAGAATGGCTACAAGCCCTGGTACCTGGAGGAGTGTGCCTCCACCCTGGCCACCACCTACAGCAGTGGGGCTTTCTACGAGAGGAAGATTGTAAGTTTTACCCTGGCGTGGGGTTGTTCAGGCTGGAGAAAAGGGGGCTCAGGGGAGACCTCACTCCTCTTCACAGTTATGTGTAAGGAGGTTGGAGTGAGGTGGGTGTTGGCCTCCTCTCCCAGGTAACTAGTGATAGGATGAGAGGGAATGGGCTGCAGTTGCACTAGGGGAAGTTTAGATTGGATATTAGGAAGAATTTCTTCCTTGCCAGAGTGGTGAGGAGTTGGCCCAGGGAGGTGGTGCAGTCCCCATCTCTGGAGGGGTTCAAAAACCATGTAGATGTGGTGCTTTGGGACATGGTTTAGTGGTGATAGTAGCGTTGGGTTGATGGTTGGACTTGATGATCTTAGAGGTCTTTTCCAACCTTAATGATTCTAAGAGCAAGTGTGGTGGCATCCCCGGGTGTTTTCTGTGTGGCTGGGCTGGGTGGTGGCTCAGCTGCAAGAGCTGGATTTGCCTTTAGCCCTGTGGTGAGTTTTGCTCTTGCTTTTATTATAGTGGGGCCAAAATTGTGCTGGTCCTTGGGAAGAGCTCAAGGACGTGGTGTGTTCCCTGGTAAATGGGTGGAAGGGCTGGAGGTTTGCAAAATTACCTGTGGATGGAGGTGTTTGGTGGGGATGTGGCAACCCTAAATAAGAAGCAGGGACTTTTCAGAGCCCAGGAATCACCTGAAAGCATGTGCACGTGTGGGTCAGTTTGGTTTTCCCTGCTGCCCAGGCTGTATTTGCCCTTTCCCAACAAATGGGGTCTCATCACAGCAGAGCATTTTGTCATCAATGTCCTTGTACATCATCTGAACCTTGAGCAGTAGAACATCCCCCCCAGCATGGTGCCTTACCTGACCTGGAGAGGAGTTTTCCACTGAAATTATTTTTTTGACAAAAAAAGTGATTTTTTTTACAAGTATTTTTTTTTTTTTCATTCAGGAGAGATTTGTTTGGGCCCCTGAAAGATTAATTTCCAGCCAGAAAACAGAATCCAAGTCTCATTTTCATGGGGTTCAGCAATGTTTGCACGGCTGAGGCCAGCAGCAGTCTAGGGCTGCTGGAACATTGCTGGGCAGAAAAACGGCTTCCAGGGGCAGCCCAGGGAGAAACTGGGTGGTACGTGTCTGCCCCCACCCCAAAAAAATCACCAGATTAACTCAATTCATCAGATCAACTCAAAACCCAGGAGCCTTTTAAAAATGTAACTGACTGAGCATCCCTTTGCCCACCTCCTCTCTCCGAGCTTCTGGTACCCGAGCATCATGCTCTGCACTGAAATGAAAAAGATGGAACTAGCTTTTTTTTTCTTTTTTTTTTTTTTTTCCCCTCATGCAAATGGAAATTCTTGCCTGACACCAGGAGCTGGAGCTCTTCAGGGAAGTGTTTAATGTGGCACAGCTCAATATGCACCCAGGGGTGCGTACCCATGCCGGCCCTGCCCTGCTCACACCACTCCATCCAGCTTTTCCTCCAGCTGACCCATGGCAAAATTCACACTTTTTTTCCCCTTTTCAACTGATTTTTGCACCTTTGAGCAAAAGAAAATATAAACAGGGGTGTTGTGGTGTTTTCTCATGCATGAAATGTACCTTCAGACCACTTTTGGAGCTCGGAGCGCCCCATGGCACGGCATCGATGGCAGGGGTGGTGTACCCACAGTCTCAGCTCCCCGCTGGCAGCATCCCAAGCAAACCTGGGTGCTCTGTGGGGCAGCCCCCACATCGGGAGCATCTCCAGGAGCATGGGGGCTGCAGCTCCTCTCTCCACAGGTCACCACGGACCTCCGGCACAGCTGCACCGACGGCCACACCGGCACCTCCGTGTCCGCCCCCATGGTCGCGGGCATCCTCGCCCTGGCGTTGGAGGCCAAGTAAGTGGCAGCTCACCCACGGCTTGCTGGGGGGTGTTCCCAAATTTAGTAGCTGGAAAGCAAAAGGAGGAAGAAAAAAGGTGGGTTTATTTACTCCAGAGCAACTTAGAGGGGGGCAGAGTTGTTTTAAATGGCTCCTTTTTGGCAAGGTTTGATCCAGCGTTGTTGTTTTGCATCTAATCTTCCTGCAGGTGTTTTATTGAGCTAATTCTTCACTTGTTGCCATCTGTTGAAAAGTTGGGGTTGGCGAGATAAGTCAGGCTTTTCATTTGCTGCCTTGAAACCATTGACAGCCGGCTCCAACAGGAGTTTTATAAATACTTCCTGGGAAAAAAATGTCAGAAAACATCACAGAAAATGGAAAATGTCTGTAGAAGTGATGGTTCTCAGCAAGTGTTTCATTTCTGGGGGAAGAGGACTACTTTTGCATAATGTCAGAAGCCCACGCAGCGTGACCAGCAGCAACGTGCTCCCTAGTTCAGATGAGCTGCTCTCTGCCTCTTGTCCCCATTCCCAATCCCATCCTAATCCTAGTTTGGGTCCCAGCAGGGTCCCCCAACCCAGGAGTAGCCCTGCAGTGGACCATGCTCACCCCTTGAGCATCTCCATGTTGCTTCATGAAGCATCTTCTCATTTGCTTCTCACTATTATTATTATTATTGTTATTTTTATTTTTATGGGGTGGGAATAAAGATAAGGGCTGGGAATAAGCCTCAGGGCAGCACTGGCATCTAGGGATGTAGTGTGCCCGCTCCAGTCCCTCTCCTCTGGTCGGGTGAGAGTGTTTCCAGAGGTGCTATTTTCATTACAAATATATTAAAAGCTTTAGATGTAATTTTTGAATTGTTTAGCTGAGGCATAAAATGCAACATTAAGTACCAGAGCTTGGTGCTCAGACACTCCATTATGACGAGGAGGAATAAATTGAATTTCTTTTCTTAAATGTTGCTTGAGAGCCATATAAATCCCAGTTTGAGATGCTGAAGAACCGACTGTAAGGAAAGTGTGGAAAATTCTTTAGCAATATCCCTGGGCTGGGGTCTTGGTGGGGAGCTCAAAGGCACACAGCGCTCAGTGTCCAGCCCAAACCTCACGTAAACCCAGCCAAAGAGGGGTTTGGAAATGCTTTGGGTTTCATTTTGCTGTTAAATGAACAACCCAGGGTTTTTTTTCAGCAGTTTTTGCTGTTATTCCTATAAAGGGAAGGTTTCCTCAGCAGCATGTATCAGTGAGCTGCTGAGCCCGCTGCCCTGCCTCGGGATCTGCTTCATTCCCCATCTCCTACAAGAAAATGGGGAAAATCTTCCTGATTTGCTCCAGTTATGCCCTGGAGCATGAGATCTAAATACCCTTGGCCAGGAATAAATCCTGCAGTGCCCATGGGCACGTGGCATCACTCCCTGGGGCCACCCTCTGAGGATGGCCAAACTCCAGGCAGGGCATCAGCATTTACATCATCAATCTGTGCTCTTTTGGAGCAGGAAGGAGATTTTGGGTTTGTTTTTTTTTTAATCCAAGGGGGGTCCCTGCTGCTCCTGGGAAGACTGGGAACAGCAGAACCACCCCCTGAGCCACGTGTTGTTGCAGCCCCCAGCTCACCTGGAGGGACGTCCAGCATCTGCTGGTCAAAACCTCACGGCCAGTGCATCTACGAGCATCCGACTGGAAGACCAATGGCGCAGGGCATAAAGGTGAGGAGCTGTGGGCGTGCTGGTGGCAGGGTGAAAATGGCCACAAAAGGGAAAATAAAGGTCCCCAGAGCTTCACTCATGGGAGCATTGACTCTGAATGCCCACTCTCTGCTGGCTTGGATGCTCCTGCCATCAGGCTGTTTGAGCAGAGAAAGGAGAGGGCAGTAATTTAGGGGGTGAGATGCATGGAAGCTTTGCTTGGTGGAGCTTTGGAAGCCTTGCCTGGTGGAGGCTCCCCTGAGCTGCAGTGTTGCCTACTCCTCTTGGTGGGCTGCTCCTGGCAGTGGGTTTCCCATGGTATCAACATGGATTTGATGCGTAACTCCGGCAGGATGATGAGCTCCATTGGTCAGAGCACCTCCTATCCAACAGGATCAACTCCACACCTTCCCCAGTGGTGGGAGGATGCTCCACCAAGCTCTAAGGAGGAGCTGCTGGCCCCTGCTTGGAAGGCAGTGGGTTTCTGAGTCTTCTCTCTTTCCAGTTAGCCATCTATATGGCTTCGGCCTGGTGGATGCCGATGCTATTGTGACGGAAGCCAAGAAGTGGAAGACGGTCCCTCCCCAGCACGTCTGCGTGGGAAGCCTGGACAGGGTGCCCAAGTGAGTGGCATGGGGTGGGGAGGCTCTCCCAGGGCACGTGGGTGTTTGAAAGGAGCTTTGGTGGAGCTGGCTCTTGTGGTGAAAAGGCTCAGCCACTGTCTCAGCATTTGGGAAGGAAAATTAGGACTTGTGGTGGCCAGAACAAGCCCATGTGCAGACAAGGTAGTGTTCATGGGTTTTATGGTCAGAGTGATCCACAGTAACACCCCAAGGACCCAGAAGTGTCCCCTTAGGGTCTGTGCCTCTGCCTCAGCTCAGAGCAGGTCCCACAGGGGTTCTTTGGGACCACCTTTGACGGAGGGTGATTTTTTTTTTGCCCTTTCCACGTGGGTGATCAGCAGGGAAGGTTTGAGGGTTAGCAGTGAGAGACCAAAACCACCTTGCCCACTGAGTCCTATGTAAGAAGTTACATGTTGGGCTCTCCTCCTCCTTCCACCAAAAGAAGACACCAAAACCCAGTGCTTTGTTGCAAGGGCTCCCGAATTTCCAGTGCTTGGGGTCACTTTGACTTCGGCTTCAGGTTCAAACCAGCTTCACAGAAAAGTTCACATTTCACAGATAGTTCACATCTCCTCCTTTCTAGGTCTGTCCTTGCTAGGTTAAAGGGTGGGATCAGGGACCTGACCAAATGGACCCTCCTTGTCTACTCCTGCCTGGCTGTAGAGCCGTTCATCCGAAAGCAGCTCCTTTGGAAAGGCTCTTGTGTGCAAAGCAGGGGTGAATTCACAGCCAAGTGTGCCCGTGAAATGATTTATCTGATACAGACACCGATTACAACCCAAAGAGACCGCAATAAGATTACAACCATTCCAACAGAGCAGCGCCCTGGCAGCCCATAAGGCAGGGACCTCCGGGGCAGCTCGTGCCCACCGAGCCACCCGGCAAACCCCTCTGCTAGTGGGGGGCCGCGTGGGAGCGGGGCGGGGGGTGGATTGTGCCAGGCAGCAGTGGGAGGAGGGGCTGACGGGCGGCGCTGTGCCCGGCAGGTAC